CGCTGCCCTTCGTCTCCTTTTTCTGTCTCCTTTGCTGTCTCCTTTTGTCTCCTTTTTTATTTTATTTAATTGTCTCCTTGAGACAAAAGGAGACAATCCTAAACCCTAAACCCTAAACCCTAAACCCTACAGTTGATAGCTCATTACTATTTAGTATATGTATAAACAACAACAAACCCTAAACCCTAAACCCTAAACCCTAATGCTTAAACACTAAGTAAATACCGAGAAAAAATTCTCTGTAGACTACCACGCTGCTTACAAAACCCTAAACCCTAAACCCTAAACCCTAAACCCTTGAGAACAAATATGATAGAATTAGGGTTTATTGCCCTTCTTATGGGCAAACGGTATAAACACTGCCATCACATCTCCAAACCCTTAACTGCAGCAGCAGCAACTGCAGCAACTGCAGCAGCAGCAGCAACAGCGGCTGCTGATGCTGCTGCTGCTGCTACAAAGGAATGAGGCTCCTGCTGCAGCACAGGAGGGCGGAGAGCGAATAATACCGAAAAATGTAATGCACAAATAACGGTAGTTGCTGCTGCTGCTGCTGCAGCAGCAGCAACTGCTGCAGCAGCAGCAACAACAGCAACAACAATATGTGCTGCTGCAGCAATAGCAGCATTTGCTGCATCCAAATAAACAACAGTTTGTTTTTTATCTATACAGATATGCCTTTGCTGCTGCAGCAAATTGCTGCTGCTGCTCCTTCCCTTTGCTGCTGTTGCAGCAGCAGCAGCAGCAGCAGCAGCAGGAAATAAATTATTCAAGGAACCACCAGAAAGGCCCCTCCCCCCTGGATCCATCTGTCCTTGGCTCTGTCCAAGGAAAGTGTTCCTTTTCTCTTGCTGTTGCAGCAGCAAACTTGGTAAGAGGGAAGAAGAAGAGCAGCAAAGAATAAGTAAACCATAAACAAGAAATCTCTAATTTATTGAATTCTTTTTGCTGCTCCAGCGACGGCACCTCCCTCTGCTTCCTCCTCTGCTTTAATCTATTCCATAGAATTAGCTGCAGCAGCTCGCGGCATTCAGGTCCATGTATGCCACTCCCTCTTAGCTTTAATGGTTTACCTGCTGCTGCTGCTGCTGCTACTCTTGCTGCTGTTGCTGCTGATGACGAACCTACAGGCAATATTGCGCCGCTGCGCTGCAGGGAAGGATGAGGCAAATATTCCCATTGATTATAATCATGATAACGACCTAAGTATACATGATTACCCCCTAAACGTACACCAGATATATACAATATACTCCTGCTGCTGCTGCTGCTGCTGCTGCTGTTGCTGCTGCTGTTGCTGCTGTTGCTGGTTGTTGTTGTTGATGTTGCTGCTGCTTTGCTGCTGGTGATGATAGAAGTAGTGGTGGAGGTGGAGGTAGTTGTTGAAGCAGGTGCTGTCCCTGCTGCTGCTGCAGCAGGGAAACGCCGCAGGAGCAGCGCGGAGGTAATAGAAGACATTATAGGGGAGAAAAAGAAAAGAAAAAGGAACAAAATATACTAATCAATTATATATTTACTCAATATACACCACAATACATATTATTTATTCATTTACGTACATTTATATACTCATTTGACTTATATACAGCAGCAACGGCCGCTGCTGCTGCAGTACACACCAGGTGTACGTACACCCCAATATGCAGCAAATAAGAATTTAATTTTTCTCCCATTTACTTCTTATCAACAAACAATACTCATTTAGAAGCACTGCAGTAACGACATAGCTGAAGCAGCAGCAGCAGCTGATGCTGTTGCTGCTGCAGTAGCCGCAGCTGCTGCTGCAGCAGCAGCGCCTACAGCAGCAGCAAGTGGCTGCTGGGGCTGCAGCAGCAGAGGGCGACCTGACGGCCGCTCTATCTGCAGTGTGTACAAATATTTAGATCTTTCTTAATTTACTTTTAAAAACATTTAATTCTATTTTAATTCTTTTTTCTGCATATTTAAGAAGAAAAAAAGCTGCTGCACCGGCAGCCGAGTTGCAAGGCAGCAGCAGCAACAACAGTAGCAGCAGCAGCAACAGCAGCTGCTGTTGCAGAGGGGCACGTCGGTGGGGGCTGCAGCAGCTGCTGCACTGGGTAGGGCGTTAAGGTCTGTAGAATCGGAGAGCTGGCGGCTTGTGGCAAGGATTAGGGTTTAGGGTTTAGGGTTTAGGGTTTAGGGTCTGGATATCCTATATATATTTCGGGTGTACATACAGCTCAACGAAAATGGTGAAGTACTCCCGCGAGCCATCCCACCCCAACAAGTGTGAGTTCTTTTCTGTTGTCCTTCTTTTTCCTTTTTTCTTTTTTTGTTTTTCTCCTACTTATTCCTTTATTCTGCCGATCTGCTGCTGCGATGCTGCTGCTGCTACCGCTGCTGCTGCAGCAGTAGCAACAGCAGCAGCAGCAACGAACTGCTGCGCAGACCCACCGACAGCTACTACTTCTGTGGGGCGCGTCTGTAGCTGCTGCTTTCATCGATGCTGCTGTATTTAATTAAAATCAGCAGCAGCAGCAACAGCAGACCCAAATCGCCGTAAACACTTTCGTGCTGCATGTACTGCTGCGGGGCTGGTAGAATCGGTTGGGTCGTTGTGCATGCAGCAGCAGCACGAGCACAAACAGCAGCAACAGCAGCAGCAGAAACAGTAGTAGTATTAGTAGAGAGCAGTAGCAGCTAGAGGCTGTTGACTAGCTGCATGCATGCAGGCATATTTGCATGTTGCTGTCCCGATTGGTTGTTATGTGTGGGGTCGGCATCATTTGTGTGTGGGATCGTATTGGGATCGTGTGTGGGATCGTATTGGGATCGTGTGTGTGTGGCGGCATCAATAGCACTGTATT